CTGCTTGCTGCTCCCCCCTGTCGCGTGCGGTGGTTTTAAAGTTGAACCCAACGGTGCAGATGGACCACAGAGAACTCGGAGAAGTAAAATATATATATAATTTATTTATACAAAACAAAAACACTGATATGGCAGCAAAACTTACTTGAGTGGAAGACACGTAGGAAAATACAAGGAGCAGAGTTTGACACGGGGAACCCCATACGATGACCAGCTATTGAGGAAACCTAGACGCAGACTTATATACACACAATAATTATCGACAAGGACAAACACCAGGTGGATGGCATAAACTTATAACATGAGGGGAAAAAACATGAAGACAGGAAACAGACCAAACAAGGGAGCCACAACTAGTCCTGCCGAAATAAACAATAAATCAATTAATCGCATGTTAAATGAAAATTATCGACCTCATTTTCATTTATCGGCTTTATTGTTTCTTCGTTTCTCTCTTTCTACTAAAGACACTGGATGACAAAAGGCTCAACTCTGGTGCTCTTCACTGACCCCTCCCTTTCTCTTTTTAAAATCTATTTTAACTGTCCAAAATCCTGTTTTTGGATCGTTAAAAGCAGCTAAGTTGAGAAGCTAAGCTACGAGCTAAGCTAACAGGCCGACCTCGGGAAAAAACCTCCGTCTTGTCTAAGCTCCAAAATTCACGGTTGAAACCCGTGCCTTCATGTAAAAAGTTGTTTTTCTCTGCAAAAACAAGCTGAGAACTTGTTTACTGATCATTTATTAAAAGCTTTGTGTGAAAAATGCTACGCTAATCACACCGAGCGTCTGCCATTTTGAGAACCGAAAAGAGACAGCCCATGTCACGTCAAGGGGCCTCCCTCCCATTTTTCTTAAAGAGACAGGTTGCTCGCTCCCTCACTTTCCATCCTTTGGTTCGAGTCGTCTTATGCTGCCATCCAGTGGTCATAAAAAGGTACTACACTCAAACAAATTAACCAACATTTCTTCTTAAATTTCAAACAATATTATCGTTTATTGCAATAATTTCGGAGACAATTAATCGCTCAGCAAAATTTGTTATCGTGACAGCCCTAGCAACAATCCTCACACCCCCAGGCTGAAAGCAGATTTGAGAACTTGTTTTAATGAGTTTACAACACTGCTATTGTTTATTTAAAAAGTCCCTTTATTAACTAAAAAGAGTGTTTAGAAATTTTAAAAGGAGAATTGTTCCCATTAAAAATACAAACTTGACTGGTAATTAAGTTGTTCATTGAAAAGATTTATGGGAGAATGTTGTTTTACTCAGAAAGGGATTGTAGTGTCTTTGTACAAATTGTCCCAATGTGCTGTCCAGATGAACTCTTAACTTTTTTGAATTTTTACAAATTCTAGGCAAATGCAGATTTTAAACAAGCGTCATCTAATCCTGGTCCTTGGGGTCATTATCCTGCAGGTTTTAGATGAATGAATGAATGATCAACGAACTTCTACAGAACTTGAAGACATGCTGGAAAACAGGGAAACCACTGAAACATACAGGAAGGATACCTGTATCACCACTGTAACAGTGATATTATAGAAGAGGTGACAGTTTATAAATATGTGGGAATTTGGATTGAATTTGGATTGAATTTAGATTGATGGTGCTCTGTCCTTTTCACATCATGTTAATAATAATGTGTATGTGTTGTCATCATTGTATGTTCCCATTAGAGCTATAATTTCTAACCCGGAGCCCGTCCCTGCCTGACCCGGATTCAGACCGGGCCAGGTCATAAAAATGTGCTTAATGTGTGGGCCGGGTCGGTGTTGAGCTTTTTACTGCGTCCCGGATGTGCGCAGCCAACAATCCAATATATGCAAACATAGCTTGCCATACTGCACCGGCCGCACGCAGCCATTTGACCGTGCACTGACCACCCGGTTGAAAGAGGTAAAAAGTTCAGTTAAGCTTCAGATGGACTACTGCCAGCGATCCAGCAGCCCAAATGGACATTCATTCAGCTGCTGCACTCAGCGGAAGCGCGCGGCCGATGACCCAAACAGGTGACATCACAAAATATCCGACATGTCAGAGCAGGATGCAGGCAGAAGCAGGAGAAGCATTTAATACACTTTGAGAGCTCCTCAGCTCTGATCTTTCTGCCCCCTCAGTTGCACGCATCCACCAACCGTTGATAATAGTCAGTGGTACAAGCAGTCAAAGTTTAATTAAAAACGTTGGGGGGGGGGGGGGGGGTCGGGTTCGTATCTGTAATTACTGTTAATTTTTCGGATTGGGTGGGGTTTGGAGATGATGGCTGTGGGCTGGGGCCGGGTCGGTTTGGATTATTTGGACTCGAGTGCAACTCTAGTTCCCATACAATGGCGAAATTGGCTCTCTGCATTTAACCCATCCACCACCAAGTAGAGCAGTGGGCAGCTATTGAAAGCGCTCGGGGAGCAATTGGGGAGAGGGTGTTCTGCTCAGAGACACCATGAGATGTGCAATGACTTGCGATCGAACCTGGGACTTTCAGGTCCCGAGTCAGCTGCCCTGCCTCTACCCCATCTCGTCCATCATAATGTTTAAGGTTAAAGCGAGACTTGGTTATCTACGTTGAAATTGATCTTGGTTTACAATGGATGCAATATGCACCATTGTTGAAAAAACCTGTTCTACCTGTGTTGGATTATGGAGACATAATTAAAAGACACACATAATGGGCACATAGTCAGCCAACCAGTTTTTAAAAAATCCAACAAAATTAAGTCCATTAAGTCCTGGTCCATGCATTTGTCACGTCTAGACTGGACTATTGCAATGTTTATTATCTGGATGTCCAAATACTTCTTTAAAACGTATTCAGTTGATCCAAAATGCTGCTGCCAGGGTCTTAACTGGAGTTAGTAGGAGAGATCATATTTCTCCAGTTTTAGTTTCTCTCCATTGACTCCCTGTCAAGTCCAGAATAGAATTCAAAATCTTACTTCTAACTTGCAAAGCTCTCAACAACCTGGCTCCATCTTATATTAAAGATCTTATTGTTCCATATTTTCCTAACAGTGCACTTCGCTCTCAGACTGCAGGTTTACTTGTGGTTCCTAGAATTTACAAAAACAGAATGGGAGGCAGATCTTTCAGTTATCAGGCCCCTCTCTTGTGGAACCAACTTCCAATCTCTGTCCGTAAGGCTGATACATTATACAGTTTTAAAACTGGGCTTAAGATTTTCCTTTTTGCTAAATCCTATAGTTAGGGTCGGCTTGGGATCCTGAGCTGTCCCTTAGTTATGCTACTATAGGCTTAGACTGCTGGAAGACAAACTGACCACAATTTTCACTCTGCTACTGCCTTTACTTATTCTGCTCAACCTGTTTTGTATTTGTAATTATTTTTTCTATCCTTAACATGTTTTTTTGTCTTTCAGATACACCTGGACCTACCATTCTGTGTTCGTCTGTCTCTCCAGCAGATGGCCGCTTGTCCTGAGCCTGGTTCTGCTGGAGGTTTCTTCCTTTTAAAAGGGAGATTTTCCTTTTCCTTGTTGCCACTGTGCTTGCTCAGGATGGGAGACTGTGAAGAAGCCAAGATTCAACTTGTCTGCTGGATTCCTTAGATAGAGAACTTTACTAATTGGCTTTTATGTATGTGAATGTTTCTGTAAAGTGCCCTGAGACAACTTTGTTGTGATTTGGCGCTATATAAATAAACTGGATTGAACTGAATTGAATTAAGTCAGGTCATCTAGACAGTTTCTTTTTTGTTGTTGTTGAGATCAGTCCATTGGATGAAGGATGATGAAGGATCCAGCAAAGAACTTTTTTCAATTTTTTTACCTGGATAACTGAGCATGAACTTAGGTGTTTTGAACCACTTTGGCTATGGCTGCCTCAGAGGATTTGATGGGTGACAGGGCGGGCCCCAGAAACCATCTTATCACCAGCAAACTGGTTGGCTCACTATGGGAGTGTGCTGCTTGTAGGACTGAGTTTTGTGGCTCCTAGGACTGAAGAAGTCCTTTGGATGAAGGATGAAACGTTTCAACAAAAAAAAAAAGCAACCATCCAGATGACCTGATTGAACTTTTTTTTAACTCTTCTTTTCACAGCAGTCTGTCTTGAAACACATCAATGAGGTGCTATTTATAATATAAGACAGATCTTGGTGGCAGGCCTCAGACTGATGAAGTCCTTTGGATGAAGGACGAAACGTTTCAACAACAATAAAATAGAAACCGTCCAGATGACCTGACTGAACTTTTTTGACCTCTTCTTTTTACAGCAGTCTGTCTTGAAACACACCAGTGAGGTGCTATTTATAAGACAGTACTGGGTGGCAGGCCTCAGACTGATGAAGTCTTTCGGATGAAAGACGAAATGTTTCTCCCAAAAAGAAACCGTCCAGATGACATGATTTAACTTTTTTTTGTGATCTTCTTGCCATGCTTTATTTATATATCTTTTTGTTTACCCATCATACCGATCTGTCATGTTGAAAGTACATTAGGAGACATATGACAAAATCCTAATATTTTATAAAAATGATTAAAAAATACGATATATGGGTCTAGTTGAGAAATCAATGCCAAGTTCATGCTAAAATCAGCCCACGCAACATTCCGTACTTCGCGGGACTCCATCTATGTTTTATCGCGTTGTGATGAATTTCCAATGATTTAAGCTTATTATAAATACGATTTAATTATAAATAGCAGAAATATTGGGGAGTGGTGGCGCAGAGGTTAGAGAGGTGGGCTTGTGATCCAAAGATCGCCGGTTCACGCCCCGGCCCCGACAACATCAAAAATTGTGGGTGGGGTAGGTGAAACACCCACACTTGCCCCCACCCTCATTCGCCCCACTCTGGGCCCATGAGCAAGGCCCTTAACCCCCACCATGTGCTCCCTAAAAAAACAGGTCTCTCTTGAAAATGAGTTCTCGTGGCTCAATGAGACTAACCTGGATAAATAAAGGCTAAATGAAAAAAAAATATATATATATATTGTGATACATTACGTCCTTATCGCTCCTCTCTAGTTTGTAGGTGAACTCACTGCATTGTGTCAGGCCAGCTACACCACATGTCCGGGTCCAGTCTTCCTATGTTCAAGTGGAACTCGTCTAGGCAGAAATCTCTGATCATTGTTACGTAGAATTGTACGCTGCAGCCGGACGCTGAGGGGACGACATGAGCTGTGTGAAGTTGAGACAAAAGACAAAAATAAGAAAAGGAGACTTTTATTTAGCAGACTGGAAAAAAGCCTCATTGTACAAATGCAACAAAGATTGTGGGAAGTGGCTCAGTGTTTATCTGCTCTGTTTACTTCCTTCATAAATAGGAATATGTTTGTTCAACAAACAAGGTTATGTTCTGGCTATAATTATTCTCACCGGGATATTTCTTCCCTATTAGGCCGTTACTTTCACCAAGAAAAGATTTTAATTTGCAATCAGAGTCCCAATCCCATTTGTTTACTTCAGAGATGTGTGCAAACAGCCTCTTAATGCGGAGGCAGACCATCGCCGTCCCACTGGAATAAGAACTGAATGTAATACTGAAGACGGGGAGAGGGAGGCTAACAAAGACCCCGTGTGGAAAATGAACGTTGTTGTTGTTTCGATCAGGAAAACGTGGCGGGTCTCGGTCTGTGCCAGCCTGATAAGGGCCAACTGTTTGCCCATTGTGTTTGCTCCGACTTGGCGAGCGCTCCCAGAGGTCCGGAATGCTCCAAGGGAGGCCTGCTGTGTTGACGGGGAGTTTTTATGTGAGGTAGTGCAAAAACAAAATGGCGTGTGTCCAAAGCAGCTGTTGAGATGAAGCAGCAAAAAGCTAATATCTGGAATAAATTGTAAAAAAAAAAAAAAAATCAAATTTGTCTCCCACTTTTGGTCGTTAGTTCCAGAGATAATAAATTAAACATCACAAGTTGATCAAGTTTTATCATGTCGATCTATATATTGTGCATAAAGAATATAACATTATTGTCACATTCATAGATGTCACATCAGTTATATGTGAAGAGGACATGTCCCCTCACATTTAGAAATATTCATTTGGATGCCCCTGCATTTACCATGAAATATTAGTTAACCCAGCGCTGTTTCTATTTCTTTGAGACATAATCCATTCTACTTGATAAATTGGAGAATGCTACAAACCACTAAAAGTCCACTCCAGGTTTTCCTGGTTACTTACAACAACTCACCACCCAGCATGCAGTGTTTCTTCGAGGTCACTTGCCCTGGCGGGGCGCTCTTCTCTTCGGGTTTTTTTGTTGACCGTGATGGGGGGGGAAACCTTTGTGTTGCACGCTAAGTTAGTTATGGCAGTTGTTGACTGGAGTGATGGGGGAGGGCGGGTTAGGATGCGTGAGAGAAGCGGAGCGCTACATATGTAGCATCTTAGCTAGTACGTCTCTAATGCGCTCCGCTAGCAAGTGCTATGTTAGTGCTGGTAGTTGTCATCTGTGGGGGGTCTTTTGTTATTTGCATGAGAGTTTGGTTTTTGGACCTAAGCATCTTAGAAATAAATTTTGCAGTCTTTCACTTTCTCTGGATGACATTAATTTGACCTCTAGTTCTAAAGTTAAAAATCTTGGTGTTATTTTTGATTAGGACATGTCTTTTAACCCCCATATTGAAAATGCTGCCAAAACCGCATTCCTTCATCTGCGTAATATCACTAAGATTAGAAACATCTTATCCAAAAATGATGCAGAAAAACTGGTCCATGCATTTATAACATCTAGGCTGGACTATTGAAATTGTTCACTATCTGGGCGTCCACAAACTTCATAAAAAAGTCTTTGTAATTATTTTTTCTATCCTTGACATGTGCTTTTTGTATTTCAGGTACACCTGGACCTATATCTGGACCTGTCATTCTGTGTTTGTTTGTCTCTGCTTCCTGTTCTTCTCAAACCTAGCAGGTCAAAGCAGATGGCTGCTTGTCCTGAGCCTGGTTCTGCTGGAGGTTTCTTCCTTTTAAAAGGGAGTTTTTCCTCCACTGTTGCCACTGTGCTTGCTCAGGATGAGAGACTGCAACAAAGCCAAGATTCAAAGAGTCTGCTGGCTTCCTTAGATATAGAACTTTACTAATTGACTTTTATATGTATGTACTTTGTAAATGTTCCTGTAAAGTGCCCTGAGACAACTGTTGTGATTTGGCGCTATATAAATAAACTGAATTGAACTGAATTAAAGTGAGAAGCGGAGCATGATTTATTCACACAAGGAGAGCTGTTGGTCAGACAACTTCTTGTTGCTCTCTGAGATTGTTATTGAATCAAGTATTTACTTATGTACGTAAACGTAGATGATTAACAACCATTACCAGAGTGCAAGAAATTGCATCTATTTTATTTAAAATGTTCTGGGGGACGACCCCCAGATTACCCCCCCGTGCCCCCCCCCCCCCCCCACACACACACACACATATTACAAATTCAAGGATTCAAGGTTCTTTATTTATCATTCGCACCCTGCGTGGAACATGAGGTGGAACAAAATTATGTACACTGGGTCCCAGTTACATCCAACAATAAAATGTAAAAGAAAAACAGTAATACGATCTAAGATATGAACTAAGAAAAACATCAACTAAATTTACACTAAGCACTAGTAGCATAAAATCAATACGCCGAACAGCAGCACGAACATGAGTCTGTGTGAGCAGATGAGTACGAATGAACACATCAACATGAAACAGATCAGCAGCAACATGAAACAGATCAGCAGCAACATGATGTGATTTTTCACAGTGAATATTCTGGTTAGAGATTCATGAGTCTAACAGCTTCAGGGTAGAAGCTTTTGCTCAGTATAGTGGTTCTTCACTTAATGCTCCTTAACCTCCTTCCTGAGGTGAGCGGGGCAAAAAGTGTGTTTGCTGGGTGAGTGGGGTCCTTCATGATGCAGGTGGCCCTCTTCCTGCATCTGGAGGTGTAAATGTCTGTGATGGTGGGGAGGCTGACTCCAACAGACTTCTGTGCAGCCTTCACCACTCTCTGCAGAGCTTTTCTTTCTGCAGCTGTGCAGCCTCCATGCCACACGTTGATTCTGGAGCACAGGATGCTCTCCACTATACACTTGTAGAAGGAGGTGATGACTGAGCTTCCCAGACCAGCTCGTCTCAGCCGCCTGAGGAAGTAGAGTCTCTGATGAACTTTCTTGATCAGGCTGGAAGTGTTGTTGCTCCAGCTGGGGGTGTAGGTGTGTTTGTTCCTTCTGAAGTTCACAATCATCTCTTTTGTCTTCTTCACATTGATGTGAAGATTATTCTCTTTGCACCAGCTCTCCAGGTGTTCCACCTCCTGCCTGTAGCTGGACTCATTGTTTGTGATGCATCTCACCACCGCTGTATCATCTACAAACTTTACAATGTGACAGCCTGGATGAGTAGCTACACAATCATATGTGAGCAGAGTGAACAGGAGGGGGCTCCACACACATCCCTGAGGAGAGCCAGTGCTGAAGGTTATGGTGGAGGAGGAAAAGTTGTGGATCCTCACAGACTGAGGTCTGTTTGTTAAGAAGTCTAGGACCTAGTTGCAAATGGAGCGCTTAGACCTCATGTGAATAGTTTATCCATCAGGGTCCATCATTATTGAGCATGGACTTTGTTGTTTTGTCCATCAGGATTTGGGGAATCATGGTGTTGAAGGCGGATGTGAAGTCCACAAAGAGCATACGGACATAAAAGTCCTTCGGCTCCAAGTGGTTTAGCGCAGTGTGGACCACAGAGGAGATGGCATCCACTGTTGATCGGTTCTCCCAGTATGCGTGCTGATGAGGGTCCTCGTTGATGTTGATGGTTGTTTTGATGTGGGTCATGACTAGGGGTTGAACGAGTATATAATTTTTAAACTCGACATCAACATAATAAAACCAGAGTAGAACTCGAATATTTGATGATGTCATAGATCTCAAGATACAAAAATAAATAAATAAATAAAACCGCCAAAAAAGGTAATTATTTACAACAACAAAAAAGACCAACAAAACATTGGGAGCGTATATTATGCTCCTACCATTTATCATACTGCAAATAAGTCACAGGCAAAACTAAACTATTAGTTATTATTATTAAACTGCAAACGTGAAGAAACATGCAGCACGCCAAAAACGAAACTTAAATCGAAACTGGTTCTGGTTCGGTGGATTGGACCCGGTGTTACACCATACTCTGTGACCTGCAACAGTGCAACACTGCCCCCTACGGTCATACGGTGGTCACATAATATGACGTCACTACGGATACTCAACGTAACATTTTTAACCTCGATAGATGTCCTAGCAATCGATGTGTAGATTACTCGAGTACTCGTCCCGATACTCGAGTATCGGGACGAGGGCCACTGTCCGATAGTCATTCAGACTAGTCACTGTAGAGTTCTTTGGGACTGGGATGATGGTGGCAATCTTCAGGCAGGTGGGAACTGTTGCCAGGGTAAGTGAGGTGTTAAAGATGTCTGCCTGCACCTCACAGAGCTGATCGGCACATTCTTTCAGCACTTTCCCGGGGATGTTGTCTGGGTCGGTTGCCTTGTGTGGATTAATCCTCCTGAACGTACTCCTTACTTCTGCTGGGGTCATGCTGAGAAGCTCTTCATCTGGTGGTGAGGTTAGTCTGGTGCTGGGTGGTCTGTTCAGGTCTTCAAAGCGTGTGTAGAACTTGTTGAGGGCATCAGGTAGTGATGGGTCTTTGGGGCATTGTTCACTCCTGCCTTTATATTCTGTTATACACTTAATGCCCCCCCACATGCTCCGGTGGTCGTGTGAGGTGAATTGACTCTCGATCCTCTGTGCATATGTGGCCTTGGCCCTCTTAATACCAGCAACCAGCTCTTTCGTTGTCCTACTCAGCTCCTCTGAGCTTCCAGACCTGAAGGCAGTGTTCCTGGCTTCCAGCAAGGTGCGCATCTCTGCATTCAGCCAAGGTTTTCTGTTTGGGTAACTTTTAACATATTTTAAGGTGGAGACGGTGTCAGTACAAATGCTTCTGACGCCAGTGGTCACAATATAAATGTTCAGCCTGGACTCATATTTTTGTCTCTGCTACAACCAATGTATGTCATAGCCCCAGAATGCATTGCACCGGTAAAATAATGACTGTACTTGGGTGAAAAATGTAATAAACAAATATATATATATATTAAAATAACTGGGCATTTTCACATGTCACAAGCACAATATTAAGAGAGAAAAAAAAAGAAATAATGTAAAGCTAATATTATCGATGTGAGGCTAATATTAACAATGGAAGGCTAATATTTGCAAATAGTCGGAGATCCCTTTAAGATTTGTTGATGAAGCACCAAACAGTGGAGGGAAAGTCAAAACATTTCAAATAATCCGTTAAAAAGAAAATTATGTTTTTGGACAAAATATATCCCACCTCTCTCAGATAAAGATTTGAAACCTAACAAAATCTTTTTGTAGGATTTTAGACAACTTTACCACATAGAATAAACAACAAAAAAAAAGTTTAAAAATATTTACAAACACGGTTGAATACAACAGTAAATGCTGAATTTTTAAGCAAGTGTATACAGCTCAAATCATGTGTCTGAAATTACTCTCAGGTACTGCCACACTAAATTTGAACTCTGTATCTGTAAAACGGACTGCATTATAGCTGTTTTTGTGTTCTCTTTGGTCAGTTGGCTGTGGCAGCCATCTTAGATAGTCAACTCCTTGTAGATGTGAGCATTTCATTAAAATTTGTCCAGCGGTTCTTGAGATATTTTGCTGACAGAGAAACAAATTTAGCAGATATTTTTGTACATAGCTAAATAAATTTTGACATTGTTTAATTATTACCATATCATACCATACCTTACCATACCATACCTTACCATAATACATGCATTCATTACAACTAGGCTTGATTACTGCAATTTGCTCCTGTTTGGTATCAGTCAGACCTCCATTGCACGACTACAACTGGTCCAGAATGCAGCAGCCCGATTTTTAACCAGTACAGGCAAAAGAGAGCACATTACTCCAGTTTTGGCCTCACGGCACTGGCTACCGGTTCACCTTCCAGTTCCAAATCCAGTTCAAAATACTCCTGTGTGTCTATAAATCGCTGAACAGTTTTGCCCCCCTCTATCTCTCTGATTTGCTACAGCCGTATATCCCACCACGTTCCCTGAGATCAGCGGACCAGTTGCTCCTCACAGTTCCAGGAACTCGTCTTAAGCGCAGAGGTGACCGGGCCTTGTCTGTAACTGGACCAAGACTTTGGAACGAGTTACCTCTGCTTGTCAGACAGGCCCCCTCCCTCTCGGTTTTCAAATCCCGTTTAAAAACCCACTACTATTCAGTAGCTTTCAGCACCAGATGATCTGTGTTTTGAACCTGTATGCTCCAGACAGTTAGTCATTATATTTATTATCTGTATCGTTTTTATGTCTATATTCTGATTTACCTCATTTTGTATATTGCCTTGTGTGTTGCCTGTTTTTCTGTCTGTACAGCACTTTGGTTGGCCTTGTCGCTGTTTTAAGTGCTCTATAAATAAAATGGTATGATATGGTATGGTATAATGGTATGGTGTAATACCATACCATTATACCATACCAAAATACCATACCATTATACCATACCATACCATACCATAATATCATACCATTACTCCATACCATACCATAATATCATACCACACCATACCATACCATTATACCATACCATACCATACCATAATATCATATCA